AGTTTTATTCGTCCGTTTTCATGGAAAATATAAAAGCTTACGAACAGAGATAAGCTTTGTTGTTGTAAGCTTCAATTAGAATAAAAGCACAAAGAACTCTCTCATTTTCTCTCTCTCTCTCCCTCTACCACCTTTCACTCTATGTTCTAAAAAGAATGTCCCTCAATAACACAAATTTGAAAGCAGCTGATTATTCTTTCATTTCTGTGTTTTCTTTCAGTAATACTGCAGCTCTTAGAATTTTTTGAATGTATTGCTCTGGTATATCCATCAACTCTAGTGACTTTCTTCGAATCACTTGAGGATTATCTCCAAATATACGAGGAAATGTCAAAGCATAACGAGTGGCAACTTCTTCCGGTAATAACGCAGACTTGCAAAGAAACTCTTTCCAGTCAAAATGTGTACTTATATCACTCGATACTTGTTCTCTTCTTGTTTTATCTTTTTCCAGTTGTATAGAACTTTGAAAACCTTCCATTCGCATACGATTCTCCTCATTTATTCTCCGTCCCATATGTTGAGCCACTCTTGAAATAACATTTGATTGCTCAGCTTCCAAAGATGAAACATATTCATTGGACATCGACTCAAAGAGAGTTTTGCACCATACTGAAAAGTCTTTACTGAACTCTTCTCGGTTTGCTTTCCCAATTTTCCTCAAAATATCGACATTATCTATTCCCAAAAATCGTTCAAGGTTCCTTTGGGAAACAACTATCAATTGCATACATGATCGACTTCTTTCATTCAAAGTTGACCCAGTAGTAGAATGTTCAGTTACCAAATAACTTGCATCCTCAACAATATTTTGTTCTTCAACAGAGAAACCTACAGATCGATCATATCGAGTACAAACTACCACCACAAACTGAAAACAAAGTTGAACAGATGAAAAAGATTCGTCATTCAAAACGGAAACAACTCCCTTAAAAAATTTTTTGGCTTCTTCCTTAATATTTGCTTTCGAAAATTCAGTTTTGTGATAAAATGTAAATGAAAATCCAACAACATAACGTGTTTGTCCATTATGGAATACAACATATGCATCAGGGCCACTAGAATTGCCATCTTTTGGAACAAAAATACCACAACGTTGTAAATGTTCTCTATAATAGTCAGAAAATGAATCAGAGACATTTCTCAAGATGGGTATATCATAAGATTTTGTAGATTCCATAGAATAAGAAACATTGTCCTGTTCAATAAAAGAACCCTGGAAAATTCCTGGAATAGCAGAATGTACAATAGGCCAGGAATTAGAATGAAGAAAAGTTAATAAGCGAAAACGAAAGATCTTCATAAATACAAATTCAAAGAAGACTCCCTTTGCTGTTGAAGTGTCGGGAATATAACTAAACGGAGATAAAGGAAAGAGTTCAGTAGCCTCACGGAAAAAGTTGTAGTTGCTATGAGCTCTCAATATAAATTCACAACAACCAATCTTGAATTCAATGCCCATATCAATCCCGTCAATTCCACAACTTTCAGAATAAAACCCAAAAGTTGCAAGCAAGTCCATCAAATAAGTTCTCGTTCCACATAGAGTAATTACAAAGTCAATTGGAAAAATTGTTCCGAGCTGATAATTCAAAAGGACAAATTGATATCGAAGAAGGGTTGCGGAATCTAGTATCTCCGGAACAATAATCGTCACCGACTCTAGTAGTACCAAGCGAAAGATTCTATCTAATAAGGGTTCCATATTGTCATTGTTGATAACAGGTTGAGATAAGTTTGCAACTTTCTCTACTAGGGCTAATAAAGTATTTCTTACAATCAACGGAATACCTCCTGTCTTCTTTTTCAACAATTCTACGAATCGATGTCGTAAATCATCGGAGAGCAATAACCAGTCCTTCAAGGACTTTCCATCATAAGTTGCCAGCTCAATATATTCGTTAATATCATGGAGATTAAAGGGATTCAACCGCAACATATGGAGGGTGACACTACTGGAGCGAGTATCAGACAGGGGGGGCTGAGATTTCAGCAGTTCGCCCAACAATATACAGGATAACTTTTCCTCTATCAAGCAACTCACCTACAGTTCGAAAAAATTTGCGAAAAGGGACATAACCTGGATCGGACTCGACAAACTGTTCCACGCCAAGTTCACTATAGTATCTGGTGAGGTAACTCAGATGACTAAGTTCGTCTATCATCAAAAATAAATATTGTTTCTCAAATTGTTCGAGAAGATAATCAATAGCTCCTACAGTATCAAAATTCTTTACCATCCTCTCAGCCATCTGAAGAGCGTCCGTATCTTTACCATTTTGTCGATAAGCGTTCAAAATAATATTATACATCAAAGCCTCTAGAAACCTTGGAAAAGGAGCACGAGAAAAACCCTCTTCTAGTTTAAAGCAAACTGACAAAGTGTTTTCCGCAAAGTGTTTCCAAGAAAAAATCTTCAAATCAACTTTTCCCGATGAGCTCTTGTTGAAAACCTCCGTCTTCGTCTGCTCTTCTTCTTCGTCGGCGAATTTTTTTAAAAACTCTAAAAAATTTTCTCCAACAAAACTCTTCCCAGCTCCAAAGACCTGAGGGGAAAAGCAAGCTGCAGGACGTATGTCATTCAAGTTTCCCTCAGTTGGAGAAAACTGGTTCAAATAAGTTAGAATAATAATGTAAACATCTTCTTTTCTATCTATTAACGGTACTTTTGTCATTCCAGGCAAACTTTTGCGTATCTCTTGACTAGTCATTTTACACGCCGCCAATCCAAAATCAGTGAATGAGTGATGATGAGAAAAGGTTGATGAAAGCGATGACCTAAAAGCTTTCAAAGGAGCCGAGAACAAAACACTTGGAGGAGGACAAAGGAGATGGAAGAGAGTGTATGTTTTATTGTTCGAGCGATTGCTTTATTTGGTGATTGGTAAAACTGATCTCGTTGACACTTCTAGACGTACAATGACAATGGAGAGAAAGCCGGAATATTTTCTTGCTTGTCATAACTAGAAACTTTCTTTTACTATAGACAAGAAATAGGTTTCTATGAGTTTTTGTGGTGAATTAGATTGATGGGTACTCTTTCTATGGCTTGTATACTGTAAGAGAGTTTTTCTACTATCTTCCACACTATCTTACACGCAAACTCCTATATACAAGTCTAATAAGATACAAGCTTTTTGTAAGTTACAAACGAAATACAGTGGGAAACAGAGAATTGCAATGAATGGGAAGTCTGTTAGTTTGTAACCGTTCGTAGCACAGTTTATAAATACAAAAATATCTAATTGAATTTGGAGAAGTGTATTATGTAGATTGTCATACTGACTTATCATTAAATACAAGCCGTTATGGATGTAATAGCTACACAAGTTGTCTATCCTTTGTTCGACTTTTACCAAGTTGTGAATATGTCTTATATAAGGACATCAATTAAGGCTTCAAATATAGTAACTATAATCGTTCATTTTCTGCACATCGATGCTGAAAAAAGAGTAAAAGACAGAACCAAAAAATTATTTTGCTAAAGAAGAAGCCTTTTATACTTGAGTCAAGGTCGAGTAGTGTACCAACTTGAAAGCTTCAGCAATTCTCCAACTGAAAGCCACTCCATATTGAAGAACTTTTACCCAACACGACTCTTGACTGAAAGACGTTGTAGTTCCTAAGTTATCTGTCAAGTGATTGTTGTGGAATGACAATACTTCAAGATTGGATATGGTTTCCTTTGACTAATTAGAAACAATTCTGTTCCACTCTCAAAGTTGTCCTTTGCAATGCAATATAAATAGAACTCCTGTGTAAACAGTGATTTTCTGAAATAGAAAGTTTTTATCTCAGTGTACAAATGTATAGAGTCACTTAAGATGTCTCTTGTACTATCGATAATTGAACAAAGTTTTTCATCTTTGCAACCGGGTTACTGTCTGAGAATCAGTGAGTTTTCAGTCTAATTCGCTAAAACAGAGTTTAGTTATATAGTGTCTTGAGTACTTTTGAGATGGAGTTTGAATTGCAAACTTAAATACTCTTTTTAGTATTTGTTCTTACCTTTGCTATATTTCTCTGGAAACG